CAGGACCCAGCAGCTGGTGACAGCTGAGTGGGGAGAACCACTGTTGAGGAGAAGGTGGACATGGGTGGGAAGGGAAAGTAGAGAAAAGACAAGGGGTTGGGGAAGCAAATAAGAGTCAGAAACCATGAAGGAAAGGGGGAAGAAGTGTGATGGGGAGACAGCAAATGAGAGACCGGGGAGAGGAACAGAAGACAGGGAAGAAATTCATTCAGTATATATTCAGCTCCAGCATCCTGAAGATCCTGTGTGGCTGTCTTGCTCCCCCCACCCCCACCCCCCCCACACACACACCCAAACACCTTGTGTTTTGTCTTTTGCGATGGGTTTTCTCTGTGTAGCAGCTCTGACTGCCCTGGAACTTGCTCTGTATACCAGGCTAGCCTTTAACTTACAGAGATCTGCCTGCCTCTTCCTCCTGAGTGCTGGGATTAAAGGTGTGTGATAACCCCACCCAGCTTGTTTTGCTCCCTAAGTTTGGTGGGAGAGTAAGAGTGAGTAGCCAGCATGCTCTACTGAAGAATCACTATGCTTTGGGCAACCCTCCTTGCAGGACACTACAGGGAGGGGTCATGGAAAAAGGGATGTTTTGAGGTCCCACTCAAAGCAATTCTGTTCCAGCTGCATGGGTAAAAAACCTAGGAGGTGCTATTTTTTTTTTTTAAGAGTTTCAATCTGTCACTGCCATTTTCATTAAAAATAGTAAAAATTAACTGCTAGAAAATTAAGATGAGCCGGGCGTTGGTGGCACACGCCTTTAATCCCAGCACTCGGGAGGCAGAGGCAGGCAGAGCTCTGTGAGTTCGAGGCCAGCCTGGTCTCCAGAGTGAGTGCCAGGATAGGCTCCAAAGCTACACAGAGAAACCCTGTCTTGAGAAACAAAAACAAAACAAAACAAAACAAAAAAGAAAATTAAGATGAAGAAGCAAAGATGGGCTGGAGAGATGTCTCTGGTTTTTAGAGCACTTGTTACTCTTGCAGAGGTCTGAGTTTCAATTCTTAGCACCCACATGGTGGCTCACAATCACCCTCAATGCCAGTTCCAGGGGGTCTGATGCCCTCTTCTGACCTCTGTGGGCCCTTCACATACTGTGCATGCACACTGTATACATACATACACACAGACCAAACATTCATATATATATTAAAATATATATTCATATATATTATATATAATATATTATATATCATATATATTATATATTCATATATATTAAAATAAATAAATGTAAAAACTATTTTTTAAAAAAGAAAGGAAAGCTGGGAAGTGGCGACACACCCCTTTAATCTCAGCACTTAGGAGGTAGAGGCAGGTGAGTTGGAGGCCAGCCTGTTCTACAGAGCAAGTTCCAGAACAGCCTCCAAAGCTGTCTTAACTTGTATAATTAGATTCAACAAATAAAATCATTATGCCAAACTGCTATGAAAGATTCAAAATGCTTCCTCCTGAGTTCTGTGCATATCCTATCATGGATTGGAACAAATGATCAGGAAACCATAGCCTGGAGTGTCAGCTGCCGCAGAGATGATAAAGGGAGGTCAGAAAATGGCTCCTGGCCTCTGGACATGAGAAGTCGCAGGTGACATTCAGGGTTGCAGTTTTAGAGAGTCTAGGCAGAGGAAGGCAGCCATAAGAGGTTTAGGAGGAACAGCAGGCTGCACACAACTTTCTGAAAAGTTGTCAGGAGGAAAGGAAGGCACAAGGGTGAAAAGTTGAAGGTGAACAGAACTCAGGGAAAAGCTGTTTTAGGGTGGGAGAGACTGTCGTCATCAGCAGCATCACCACCACCATTATTTCAACGCCCACAGTTAGAGGCTTACTGTGTGTGGGCCTCGAATGTCACTTAATCCTCATCCCTAGGGGTGAATTGTTACACCCACTCTGCAGACACGGAAGAGCTCCTGGGGCTAAGTTGTAGGACTCAGATCTCAGGGTGTCTGGCTCTGAGCCTAAACCTTTTACTTCCAGGAAAGGAGGCTAAGACACAGAGACTGACGATTTCTGAAAGTAGTTTACAGCTGACCATGATGGCATATGCTTGATATTCCAGTGCTCAGGAGGCAGAAGCAGGATTACTTAAAGTCTAAGTCCGGGCTGATCGATGTAGCAAGTTCCATGTTCACCAGGATACATAGCAAGACCCTATTTCATAAGAAAAGAAAAGAGAGAAAAAAAAAGAGAAGAGAGGAGAGGAAAAGAAGGGAGAGGGGGAAGAGAGAGAGAGAGAGAGAGAGAGAGAGAGAAGGAAAGAAGGAAAGGAAGAAAGAAAAGGGAGCTTTTGCCTGTTGGAAAATTTGAGGGCAGAAGATGGCAGCAAGGGAGGGGCGGCTGCCCTGGAGAAGAGGCCAAAACGCAGGGAGGATGGGGCATGAGCTCTAGAGACGTGGGCTTGAATTTTAGTGTTGTGCTTCCTAGCTCTCTGTCCTTGACCAAAAGTATTCCTAACCTCTAAGACTGTGCTTCCTGGGAGCCGGACAGATGGCTCAGAGGTTAAGAGCACTGGCTACTCTTCCAAAGGTCCTGAGTTCAATTCCCACAGCAACCACATGGTGGTTCACAACCATCTGTAATGAGATCTGATGCCCCCTTCTGGTGTGCAAGCATACATGCAGGCATAAAAAAAAAATAAAGCCTGTTTCCTGTTGGGCAGGGTGGTGCACCACATGCCTTTAATCCCAGCACTCCAGAGGATGGGTTATTTGTGATTGAGTTCAGGACAGGCTCCAAAGCTATAAAGAGGAAACCCTGTCTCAAAAAAAACAAAACAAAACAAATAAACCAACAAAAAAGACTGTATTTCCTTCCATAAAATATATTATTAAAAATACCTCCAAAGGTTATAAAAATTAAATGAGATATTGAGTGGCCACTTCTGAAAACTCAGGGCTTGGCACACAGGGCTTTGGCCTGGCAACTTTACCTGTTCGAAGAGAGCAGGGTGGGAGTGGGTGGGGATGGAGATGTTGTTAGATGTTGGAGAGGTGTCTTGCTACCTCACCTTGCCCACTGCACTGATCCAGGCCTCCAGACTGTCTGCTCCATCTGTGGCAAAATGCTGGATTCTTCCCCCAGTGAGGATGAGTTCAAAGGAAAATGGAAACCTGCAGAGAAGATGAGGTCAGGAGGACAGCAGGGGACAATGAGAGTGCTGCCAGGCTGGTCACAGATAAGAGCAGGGGTGGAGAGAGGAGTGTCACCTGTCAAGGTCACCTGGATCAGCAGGTGGGGGGCTTACACCCAGACATACAACATCCTGGGGCTGGAGAAGGCTGAGGGGTTCAGGGCTGCTCTCTGATGCAAACATTTCCAGGGCGGCTCCCAGGACACACCACAGGCGGGGAGGAGCTAAGTGGAAGAGAGATGGAGGAGCTGTCAT